TATTTTCATATATTTTTACATCTAATCATAATTATCAAAAATTAAAATTTATAAATAATTTTAGTATTATTTAAAATTAAAAAATAATTTTAATATAAATTTAAAAATTAAGAGATGAAATTAATATTTTAACCTTTTATATATAAATGATGAAAACCCAAAAAGGGCGTGACACACTGAAAACAGATTTCAATTTTTACTCCTGATTGTTGTTTCAAAAAATGACCTGGGCTTAAACTTGACGGTATCGGGCTTGTTTCCACACGTAATAATATGTATGAAGGTTCCAAGTTGGGCTGCAGATAGTCCAGTTTCAGACTTTCTGCCATTTGGAGGCCGGAACTTTTGGGCCCGAGCATGAATTTGGTTCCTTTCCTAAATTACAGCCCGCCAATTTTAGTACACAAATATTTCCGCGCCACTGCTGTAGGTCCAAGTCAAAAAACTGGTACCAACGGCAACAGAACTCATTCCTTAGCTCATATATCCCAGAAATTTGTTCTTTTTAATTTGAAGCTGTTGGGCGCGGAGAGGCTGATATTGAACAAGTCTAAGGTTAGGGGTGGCAGATTATGGAAGGCCATCATGGATTGTGCTGGTGATGAATACGACATCGAAATCTTGGAGCTGATAAGGGCGGCGAACTCCCTGAACAAATCCTAATTCAGGCCGTCCAAAATTATATACTGCAAGAATTAAAAAAATTTTAGATAATCTCGTGAGATACTGAAACATATAGTTTACTGACATGTTCAGCAAGGGTTAATTTTTTTTTTCTTTCTTTGCAACAGTTTCCGCTCTCTTTGTATTCTATTTAATCTTGAATGAAATTTTTTGCATTTTCAACACATTGCTTTTTCCTGAGAAAGGAAAATTGTAGAGAATGATAAGGGAATCCATTGATCTTGAATGAAATTCTTTGCATCTTCACAAAAAAAGGCTGGCGTTCTATTAGGATGAATTTAAATTTTCGTGAATTCTCAAATGATTAGAAAAGATTTAGATAAGAATATAAGTTTACCATTTTTTATATAAAAATAAGAATTTTTTGAAATTTTAAATTAAATAGTAAGTTTTTGCTTTTTTTATTTAAATATATAAACATTATCTCATTTTGATTAAACTCTCGTTTGTCATGTCGTCATCACAATCTAATAAATCTTTCAATAAAAAATTAGAAAAGATTGTAAAATTTCATATTCTTATTTGAAAAAAAAATAGAAATTTACTAGTTAATTAAAAACCTAAAAAGTTTGTATTTTTAAATTGATTAATAACAAAGTTGTTATCCTTATTTGTCCATTGTCTTCTCAAATGATCAGATTTTCATATTTTGTTATTTGAAAATTAACAATTGTAAATTCCATAATTAATAATTTGAAAATGATAAACAATTGAATGGGGGTAGCCTGCTAATATTAGAGTTGTTTCTCCATTCAATGATTTTGTTTTTCAATCTGGTGCAAGAACTCTTAATGTAAATGGATATTCCTACTAAAATAAAATCAAGATTTTGTTGTATATGGTAATTTTTTTATTGATAATGTGTTTGCTTAGTTTTTAGGTTAAAATACTAATTTGATCCCTTAACTTTCAAATTTGTTTAAAATTGTCCTTTAACTTCAAAAAATATCAAAATTGTCCCTAAACATTAATTTTTAATATCAAAAAAGTTTTCTATTAATTAAAGTATCATACAACTCATTATTTTGTCATAAAATTAGTTTTGTAAAATCAAAGAGTCATATACTGTTATTGTAGCATATTTTTATTTATAAATCATATTGATATATAATTAGAATTGGAAAATTAAATTGATATATGCAATCAAAATTCAAGAATTAAGTAGTACTTATCTTCAAAGTTTAAGAACTAAATTGATATTATTTTCAAAGTTTGAGGACTATTTAGGTACTAGAAATTAAAGTTCAAAGATAATTTTGATACTTTTTAAAGTTGAGAGACAATTTTAGTGCAAATTTAAAAGTTAAGGGCTAAATTAATATTTTAACTTAATTTTTAAGTTTACTTGATGAATGAGAGAAATTCCGGAGAGTAATTATCTAAAGGATCACTTGTTTTGCAGGCAAAATTAAGATCCTTGAATGGGGGGAAAAGGCCAGTATTAGGAGGCTCTCATTTAATCTAAAGATAATTATTTTGTAATTTAATACAATTTAAATTATAAA